AGTCAAGTTTCTACTAAATTTGTCGGGGTTGTTAACATTGTATCACTCACTGATTGAACCATATTTATTTTATTGTTTAGAAATTTGGGGAGCCACTTGCAAAACTTTTACACAACCATTGATCATTTTGCAAAAAAGAGCATTGAGAATCATTAATAACAGTAACTATAGAGATCACACTAATCAATTATTCATTAGATACAAAATACTGAAATTTCCTGACTTGGTAGAGTGGAAAATATTGCAAATAATGTACAGAGCGAATACAAGTAATCTACCAACTAATATTCAGAAAATGTTTCATAAGAGAGTAAGTGGGTACATGTTAAAAGGAACTGATGTCTTTGAGAAACCTAGATTCAGAACCAAAGTGAGGGAATGTAACATTTCTGTAAATGGTGTAAGATTGTGGAATGCCATTAACAAGGAATTTAAAGAATCAACTACACTTGCAATATTTAAAAAATGTATAAAATCTAATGTATTTAGTAATTATGAAAAGAAGAATTATAATGTCAAAGATTAGACGTGAAAATATTATAAAGTGACCGAGGTTATATTGTGTTTGTTTGGCGGATAATTTTATTTCGTAAAAAGGGGCAGAAATCATAAGATTTTTTCTTCTGTCTGCTCCTTTTCATTCAAATGTTTTTTTTTCAATATGTTAATGTATCCTGTATTTGTTTGTGTTTATTTTATACATTGTGAATGAAATAAAAGATTTAAAAAAAAAAAAAAAAAAAATCAACATATTTTCCAGAACGTTTCAAAGGCATATGAACCAGTAAAAATAACAAATAGATTAATTCAGAACACTACAGCATGAATCAACAGTAGTAACTAGTGCAATCAGACTGGAGAATCCATGCTGAGCCCAACGTGACTGATTAATAACTGATGAAAGCCTTGGAGTCGACAGCCAGCATCAGACTGGGGTTGCCTAGCTGTTCCACACGCCCATCTGATTGAGCCCCGAGATCACTTGTAATTACAGATAATTAGGGAAAGAAACGTGTCACAAAAGAAGAGAAATCAAACGAAAATGATTGAAGAAAATAAAGCAGTTGTACTTCCTGTTTTCACCTGTATCTTCTCTAGAAACTCAATCACAAAACACGAGATTTCCAAACTTTTGCAAGTTTTAATAAGCCCTACGATGAAATGAATATAAGCTCACCCTTAAGAAATCTCTGGTCCGAGGAGACAGGGGAAGCCAGTCGAGCATGTCAGCAGGGATGAAAATCATGATGTCAGAGGATGCAAACATTTGATGTAGTGACATGTACAGCGGTCTGCAGGTTTAAGCTGCAGCGGTGCTGCGTGTGGTGTTAAAGGAGATGCTTCACGCTCACTGAACACATCAACACATCGGCTGTTCCACATGGACTCATAGGAAACACCCTTCAGCTGGCAAACTGGGACTGTGACCAATGCGGTCACGGGCGGGTCAGGAAAGCAGAGGCAGAGATGATGGACAAAGTGACAAAGCTGCTAATTCGACAAATGGGGTTCAGGTTGCAAAAGTAAACGACACACAACAACAAAAAATAATTGTCCCAGGAATGGATTATCTTTTGGTAAAATGATCAGAATATGACAGCCAGTGACAGCCAGTGGGGCTGGCAACTCATACATGAAAATATATAGTCTAGCCACAACCGATAGACAACTTAGTCATGGGGTGGAAGCTAGGGTTGTCTTTCAAGACAGCGCTAGGACCAATCGGAGCAACGGGATGCCATCTTTTTTCTAAATAAATGATTTAAGCACCTCTATCTGCTCATGTCTCAAAGTAAAGCCCAAGTCTAAAACATCGAAAGTTGTTGCCAAAGACGTTTCAAACAAACGCCATTCTTTGTAGTAATTCTCTGTTGCAGCGCTGGTGCTGAGCCTGCTCAACATCTCTCTACAAACAGAGCACTGACTTAAAATTTGTTGGGCCAGTGGTAGACCCGCTGAAGCTACAGTGGAGCGTCTAGACCAGGGGTGTCAAACATGCGGCCCGCGGGCCGAATGCGGCCCGCAAGCGGGTTAAATCCGGCCCGCGAGATGGTTGTGAAAACTTTATTTTCATACTTTACAATGTAGAGTGAAAATAAACTTATCTTTGTGAGCAAGTTTTCTCTGTAATGAGTATAAATAAAACAAAGCTGCGCTCAAGGCTCACACAAGAACTTGAATCCCATCCTGAAGTTGGCCGCCATTCAGGATGTGACTTCTGATGTTGATGTGCTGGTGAAAGCTAAAAGATGTAAAGTAAAATGAGTCAAATATACTTTAAGTGCTGCATGGAACTGATCTTGCCATGTGATCTGTAAGCTCTTTGGAATCACCAAGTAATGTTTTTATTATGTATTGATTTTTAATTTTTTTTCAAATTTTCAAGTACACTTCAGGTGTTGTACTTGTACTACACTGTCCTCAGGCTCCAGCCTTATTTCATATTGATTATATTAAAACAAAGAAAACAATCTGAAGTTTTTTTTTTTTTTTTTTTTTTTTTTTACCGGTCTGGCCCACTTGGGACTAGATTTCCCTCAATGTGGCCCCTGAGCTAAAATGAGTTTGACACCCCTGGTCTAGACCAACGTGCAGAGAAAAATCTTTGGCCTGCAATTTGCCGCCAGGACAACAGAGGGTGTAAAACTTCTGCTCCACCTCTTCATTTAGTTGCTACCTCCAAACTCACATTTCTCGTAATTTCTTTTCACAATTAAAAAGTTTACTGCGTATCTTTGTTCTCCATTTGAGTGGGGAAAGGGTAGAACTGATGATTTAAATAAAGCAGTCTGCTGACCAGTCACAAGCTTGCAGTCTCTGTCACTTTTGATAGATAGTTAAAAAAACTGGACATCTCTCTGTCACCCTTTGCGGGCCTGCCGAAGAGCCATGCATTATTGCATGATGGCGTTGAGTGTCTCCATACCCACGCAAACAGAGAAGCATAAATCAGGTTTTACTCTTAACTACGGAAGCCCAGATGGAGGACAAAAAATCAGATTTTCCCAAAATGAATTTTTATTTACAACAAATTTGAATTAATTGATAAAATCAGTTTCTCGACCCTTCCATTTATGTTACTCATCTCACTTTTTCATCATACAAGAAACTCAAACTTTGTCTCAGCATTTGCTTTACAGCCAGTAAGAACAGATCAGTGAGAGACGGTACTTAGGAGGACATGTTCTATAGACCCACAGAGGTGGCTGCTTGTGTCCGCTTCATCCCCCTCTTTGCAACGATTGTGTCTCTGACAAAGAAGATTAAAACCTGCTTCAGCCTCTCAACTTATCAAGGATTTAGAGTAAAACAAATGACTGACATGAATTACTGTAAGAAGATGAGAAAAGAAAAGCTTCTATTTTAATTCTGTTAAATTAATGCAATATTTTTTGGCTAGGTCTTGCATGGTATCCAACCATATTTGAGAGTTTTTGATCTCATTTTGATCTCTTATAAGCTTTAAAGCAATGTTTTATGGGGGTAATTCGCACACCCACTCTTTTGTCTTGCTATTTCTCAGCTTACAGTAGCCTCCTAAAAAGTGATTTATTTAGCCTAAGCTTTTGCAATAATGACGAATTCTCAACTTTCAAAATCTAAAACCCTTTTCCAGTGAAAAAGTGGACATTTATACAAATTTTGTTAAAAAAAACTGTTCAAATATGCCTCAATTGCATCATTCCAAACAAAACAAGAACTACTCTGAAGTTCTCAAACTGCCTAAATGGAAATGTGAAAAATCACAAGTTTAAAGGTGAAATATGTAAAAAAATGAAGTAAACATGGCATCCTGCTGTCAAATTTAGTTATTATAGTCCAGTTTTATAAGCCAAAAGTTACTGTCTCACTGCCGTTCTGTGAGTTTTATTGGCTGTTGCCAGTTACAGATCAGCACCAGAAGATTATACATGACAAACAAAGACAAGTCAGGAAGTAAAACGCTACAATTGACACATTTTCACTTCCTACACACATTTCACTGTAACATCTAGTTGTTGGTAATTGAAGAAGTAGCTTGAGATATTTTCAGAGTCAGCTAGTTGCTTCAAATTCTCCGTTAGCATTGTTAGTTCAACGTTAGCCTCTAGCCTGCTTCAGCCAGTATTAGAGTAAAAATAAAAAGATGCCGTGACTTCTTTAGGGTATAAGAAATAACTTCTGGGTCGTTTTTGTTTACAGGCTTCGATTCGTTAAAAAACTCTGGAACTTTTTGCCTGTCAGTGTCGAATTCCAAATTCTAGAGCTGCTGCGCTAGCTCGGCGCAGACTCAGCAACCTCATGCTCACAGATTGTAAAGAGTACAACGCCCCTTTTTTTTTTTTTAAAAAAAAAGAAAAACAGACAACCCTGTTTCAATGTAACCTTCCTTCCAATGACTGAGACATTAGACTGTTTTGTGACTATTTCACTGTAGAATTCTTACATATTGCTCCTTTACCTGTTTGACAGTCATTTGTTAATACAAGATTCCCCTGTCTGGATCGTTGTGCAAACGGAGTAAGTTCACATTCTTTCATTGAACCTGTGAGATCCATCTCCTCTGGGAAAAGAAAGGTGATCCAGCAGATTGTCTTTCACAGAAGTCTTGTTCAGTCACTAGACTGAAGGGAAGGTAAAGTCCAGAAACAATCTATGATAAAACTAAGTTCTATTTAAAGTAAGGGCAGCGTGATTCCTGCCTCATGTTTGAACCTCATACAGACTTTGCAATAACCCCCCCCCCCACCCCCACACACACACTCATCAGCAACAACTCTCCCCAAAGAGAAGAATTGCAACAAATAAGAAGAAAGTTCACACCAAAAACCAAGATAGAGACTAATGGTGCACACTTTGAACTTAAACAAAACCATTTAGCATTTTATGAATTTTTCTGGTCTTTTACCTTTTTCTTCTTAGGCATGCTTGTTCTTCCACAACGGCCGGGACACCTGTGTCGCCTGTCTGCTCCACAGTCACTATAATGAATTATGCAAATACCCTGTTTTTTTGTTCAGAGTGCCATGACCCTGGGGTGCAAGCAGCTGATGCCCAGTGTTAAAAAAAAACAAAGCTAACCTCTCTGGGATAACGATGACTGCTGCGATGCCTGCAGAGCAGGTGGAGTCTACGGTAGAAGACGTGAGACGCGGTCAAACAGAAGAACACCAGCAGTGAGTGACACACACAATGACATGACCATAAGATGACACGCACTTCAGCGTTTAAGCTCTGCAGCGTCATGGTTAGCCCTCAAGTGTTTTTCTTTGCCTGGCTTGGCTTTAAACTTTAATTTGACAGTGTGACATCTGTCGCACGGTACTCTCATCTATCTGAAGAAACACACGTTTGCTGCACGCTCACACACACGCTCTACTTGGAGACAAACACACTATAAAACTGTAATAATAGAGAACAGCTCCGTGCAGAGACAGTGTGAAGATGCTCAGCCTTACTGATCCTGCAATGCTGCTGTAAAACATGTGACCTCCTGCAGCTGTGCAGCCGCTGTCAGGCAGACAGTAAGATAGTAACAGCACCATCTGGAGAACTAATCCGGCTGGCACGGCCCACCCCGCCGATTACGACTGTGGCATTCAGAGTCATTAAGCTTATTGGACAGACAAGTGGATACCTGGGATCAGGCAGAGGCACTACAACTGGATCCAAAAGCCTCCAGTTCCTGCAGCTTTTGTGTGCATAAAGTGAATTTAAAAAGAATTTATCATGTAAAGAAACAAACTAAACAATTTAACTATAATTTCTCAGATAAAATAATGTTTTTTTTTTGCAGGACTGCAGCCCAGCCTTTCTTACCAACGTGTTTCTGCGTTTACAAATTTAACAAAAACTACAAAATCTTCAATTACCAGAAGCAGGATAACTGATCTAACTCATCAAACGAGAGCTCACACGTGATAATTCAATGTTGGCACTCTCCAGACACCAACTACACACTTTTAATGTCAAAACTTAAATAGAACGGTATGCCATCTCAATAAAAACATGACTGTATTCTGTTCTTTGACCATTTTCTTTACACCTAATGGTGATAAAAATGCTTATTTGGGATTTTTTTTTTTTTTTTTTACCAGAAATGCCAAAACTGTTTCCTGTCACTAAATACAAAATGGGCTGAGAACTAAGAGTTTTAATTTAATGATATTTTTGTATATTTGAATATTTCCTAACAGACTCTGGTAATAGTTTGTGTGATTCGACCCCGACCTTTCACCTTAAAAACATCACCAAGCTGAAATACAAAACTGACAGATAAGAATATTTGATGAGTTGTTGAGAAATGCCACCAATATATATATATATATATATATATATATATATATATATATATATATATATATATATATATATATATATATATATATATATATATATAAAACACTTTTGAGTTTATTTGCAACTTTCATAAGATTAATAACTTAATTTTGGGCTAAACTAGCAAAACTCTTTGTTGGTCTGATTTATTTTAACACATCTAAGGAGGGAGTTTCCAAAAGGTCTTGACTGACTCTCAGTTTTCTCGCATGAACCGCTCTCATGTTCAGATAGTTATTAAATGCCTTACAGAGTATTTGTAAATTACACCAATCAGTCATGACAAATTGAATACCTCTGCTAATCCTGTTCCAGGATTCACACGGATTATCTTTTAACCATTTCTACAGAGATCTCACCCTAACAACCCTCAGAGTCAGGACCCATAGAATTAAGACTTATTTGATTACTTTCTTAGACCAAACACCACAGGGTCTTTTTTATGCACCACAATCTAGTCTTAATGTTATGGCTGATCAGTGTGTGTGCGTAATTACGTTTAATCCTCACATTTTAGTCCCTTTAGTCATTATTAAAGTAATAATGACGTTTTTAGATTTTCTTCAGTTTAGTAGGGTTTTAAATTTTTTTTAATGAAGTTCTAGCCTAGAAATCTAGATCGTCAGTTGCCGAAGCAAATATAAGCTCAACCGATTTCTGGGAGGGGCTGAGAGTAGAGTCGCTGCTACCCCACACTGACGGGGTGAGAGGAGTTTTTAAGCAAACTCTGTTTGTGACATCACAAATGGGGACTTTTTGAAATGGCTTGTTTTATGCTCACAATTCTTTAAACTAAACGCTGACAGAAAATTTATGGACAGTTTTTAGAGACCCACATTGCACCATAAAAAGATGCAAAAGGTGAGTTTGCATAATGTGTCTCTTTTAATGTGATATGATGATAAAATGTGAACTGGGATTTAAAGGGTTAAGAAAGTCAAATATTACACTTTAACCTTTAAATTGTTCAGGCAAATATAACTTTTTTAGTTAATCAAATTTCAAATACCATGCATATAATACACATCAACCTCTAAAAATGTCTAACTATTATAGATCTGAGGTTTAGTTATGAGATATTCTTGTTTGCTTGGCTCAGCTATCCCAACTTAAATTAAAGTAGGCATAATAATAATGTTTAAGTTAAGTATGCATGGAGAAATGTGATGTTAGCTACCTAAAGTAATTTTTTTCAATGAGGGGGAGACCCTGCATTTATTGGTAGCGGTTTATATCAGTATTGTAAATTAAGAGTTAGATCATATCGGTTGTCTGTAAAATCAAAAATTTTAACACATCAGTGTTCTGCATTTTTTAAAAATAAATATAATCAAATGTAAAATGTAATCATTGGTATAATAAATTAATGTAACAAACCTGATCATTAAAATCTGACATCTTAGGATATTTCCTTATCTGATATTTTACAAACAAAAACGTGACATTTCAGCTCCGTGCAGAGACAGTGTGAAGATGCTGAAAGCAGCAGAAGGACAGAAGCATTGCCATATGGCAGTGATCTGAAAATGGCGGCCCGCGGGCCATGTTCGGCCCGCGGGCCATGTTCGGCCCGTGAGCCCTCTCTTTGTGGCCCCCAAACCTCGCGCCCAACCCCCACCCCCACCCCCGATGGCCGACCGGGAGGTGTGGGATAGATACAGCTGAGGAAAATAATCCAATAATCGATGCATCCAGATGTGGGCATAAACGATTCTGCATCACAGAAGAGGAGCCATATTCAGTTATAGTGGAATGTAGTTTTGTTATTTTAACGGCGGCCCAGCGTTGCATCCAAATCTGTCAGAGCAGTGTTCTCCACATTTACCGGGTAGGAAACTTTGGTCTGCCTTTATGTGGTACTGCAGGGCTGAGCACTGGAGTTGTAACCCGGGACCGAACCCGGACCGAATCAGCCCGATCGGTTCTGTTGGATTTGGGTCGTGAATTATGTTAATTGAGCGGGTTGTCATGTGGTGCGCTCCACCAGCGACTGAGAGAGAGAGAGAGAGAGAGAGAGAGAGAGAGAGAGAGAGAGAGAGAGAGAGAGAGAGAGAGAGAGAGAGAGAGATTGTCTGCTCACACAAGAGAGAGGATCAGAGGACGCTCCTCCAAACGCGTTATCATTTTCATAATTTCATTATTGTTTCTCCTGGAAGCGCTAAGTCAGACTGAGTGTTGTGATGTCGGGAGATCCGGCCTTGGGGAGGGAGCGGGGTCAGTGACGGCAGCTGCAGCATGATCATCTGTCTCTTATTTGCAACAGTGCACCATTTCCAGGAACTGGAAGTGAGCCACATCATAGCTGAGCTTCAGATAGCAGGTTTTGACTCTTTTATCCTGATATTTAGACTTGTCGTCCCGGATTGGGTAACAGCAATGAGACTCTACCACTAACTTGCAATGAGGATGTTTTATCTCCACAGATACCTCAAGCCTGGAGGAGTTCTGCTGTGTGGTGGAGTTGCTAATGCAAATGGTTAGCTTATACTAGCCAAGATGTCCTCTGCTGTTTCTTGGACACTAAAACAACAGCCTTCCCCATCCTGAGCCAAGATGGATGAGTCCATGACTATTAAGTGCGGTGTTGTACCTGAATGTGTTTATTGAACTTGTTTATTTTTTGTAAACGTGAATTGAATTTGTTGGTTATGTTAAAGTGAGTAAGTCCGTTTGTTCTGGCATGGTTGAACAGATTTATGGACGTGACCATCACCACGGATCTAAAGCCTAGCTAAAACATCCTGGTAACCATAGAGTATGTAAAAAGTAGAACCCACAAATGCGGCCACCACAGGCAGTAGCGGTTGGTGCAGCATCTACTATTTCTATGCCTATGCTGTGTGGAGGACGGACGTCCTGTAGCCTTGGAAAATATACAACTGTATATAACATACTTTTATAGGTTTTTATCTGTTTGCTATGATCTGTCTGTTATATTGGCAATTGTATGTATTGTATGTCATGTTGTATGTTAAAAAAATATTCCTTGACTTTGGGGGTTGTTCCCGTTCAGTATTTCTACTCGGAAATAGAAATTTCTGAGTACGGAATTAACTGGGGAAAAAAATCTAATCAGAAAACAGTAGTCACAGAGTTGCATGGGTAATATTTAACTATTCATTTATTTGCTCTTCATAAATTCTCTCTCCCCCTCTCCCTCTCCCTCTCCCTCTCTCTCTCTCTCACTCTCAAAAAATAAGGAACAGTGAACTTGGTTAAAAAACATTTTAGTGACGAACTAAAGCGGCCTTTCCCAACACTGGTTAAGTGACAGTGTGATGCAGATCTGTCTAAGCTTTTCTACTCCTAGCCTTTCACTGTCCATTTTCCATCAGCATCTATTGCAAGATAGGCTTAGGAGACTTTTTTATGTTCAGCTTGCGTGTCAATCTCAGAATGTCCAATAATAGTCAGAAATAATATTTTTAAATGGTTTTTCAGTGTTCCACACCTTTAATTACATGACGAGAGGTTTGAGTGTGAGACATAATCAGATAGAGAGACTGTCAAACAGAAAGTGTATTCAGTAGTAAACCATAACTGTATCGCTCCATTCCCACCCCCTACTCCCCTATTCCCAAGTAGCTGATTTCATCCCTGGCAAAGCCACTCTCACTATAATCTGCCCTGATCCATCTGCACTGTCAAAAACTCAGATATCAAATGTACAGACATTAAAAACCTGGGTCATCAAGGCTGGAACTGCTGGTGTACATCTGCTGGTATTATTATTGTTTTTACCAAACAGGTAAATACAATAAAGAGGCTCTCACTGGAGCTGTCTTCATTTCAAACTTCCTTGTTACTCAGGTGGTTTTAGCAGACTGGTGAGCAGATTTCATCTAGCTTGTAGTTATATAATATCTAAATCTCTAAGCCCATCTTTGGAATAGCTGATGGATCCAGAAACATCAAAAATCAATGATAATGCAGGAGAGCACTCGTAATATATAATCTGCTGGACCAGAAAGTCTTATCAAGCTTCATGAGCTTTACACATAAAAACAACAAAACGCTGAATTTTAGCCAAAATATGAAACAAAAGGAGGAAAAGTGATCCCATCCAAACACACGTGACTTACCCATGAGACATTTTTATTCTTGATTTGTTTGATCATGGCAATGAGCTGAAGCCAGGAGCCCCCTCCTCAGCAGATTTCAGCACCACTGTGCGGGATCAGAGGTGATCAAACTCATCCTGAGATCATCATCTGTCCTGCAGACAGGCAAGCCCACCACATCTGTTCTGACTGAGTCCAACATCGATCACGATCCCCATCACACTACAAAGTTCGCAGAGTTTTTTTTTTAATGAGGCAAAATATTCAAAGACGATAGTAAAACTACCCAGCAGACTCAAAAGTCTCCTCCTGCTGCCCGTAACCTGATGGAATGATTCAAGCTTAGTATGAATATAAAACATCCTTGCAGTTTTAACCCCGCCCTGCTAAGCCACGGCGTGCACCCAATCAGGGAGCAGATCAAGGCAGCCAGCTCCCTGAGGGACAGCTTATACAAATATACGGATGCTGAGTCTGGGAGAGACAACAGAGCTCAACAAACATAAATCTGTGAGTTTCTGTAAATCCCTTTATCCATCTTTCTCTTTTATGTCAACGCTCTTCCTCCTCACATTTCTCCCTCAAAGCCCTTTCCACCTTTTTTCTCTCTAGGGGGGAATCTTCCCTCCTGGCTGGTCCCTGTCGTCATGGTACTTTGCTAAGAGACGAACACTGTGACGAATTGTCAAAAAAAGTGTTCAGAGGTTGATTTGCTCTTTGGCCCAGTTTAAAAACCAGTTCAGACCAAGTGTTATTGTTTTGCCGGGCTGTCTCTTCATTACAACTTAGGGCTGGGGCTAGGGTTACTTATTAAGCTAGAAAAGGAGTCTAAACTTAGTAAAAAACTACAAACTCTTTATTCATCTTTACTTTAAAGTCTTTACATAAGAGCTCTGCTTTCTATACTCTCAGATGATTTTCTTTGTATTCACTACATACAGTATATCAAGTATTTTTCAAGTGTGAACGAAAATAAAAATCATTTATTGAAGAAAATCGACACGTTGATAACTATTTTTAGGGTTGCTTTTCATTTAATTTGGAGTGCACATTGCATTTAAGCTGATTTTCTTTTCCAACTAACCAAAAATGTAAATGATCAAAGATTATTAAAGTTAAATAATACAAAATGAAAACTCCTGACTCATGACTGTCAATCAGGCTAATTCTGTAGCATGTATGTGGGACAACATTTCTTCTCCGCTGCCCGAGGTTCGTCTCCCTGATTTTGTTAATTGGCTCCAAAGAACATCTGCTCCTGATTTCAGTGATGCTCGTTTTGGCCTGAGGTACGAGCACAACCTGCAATTTTGCCACACGAAAATCAGCACCCATTCATGCAGATTTGCAGACAAAATGTGTGTTAAAGACACAGAAGGACGTGAATTTACACGACAGAAAAATCACCAGATTTAATGCAACAAGAGAAAGAAATGTAACCTGATTCATTCTTATTAGAGTTAAGGATAGCCTGGATTGCCAACATCACAAAATGGCATTACAGAATAAAGGCACAGTGACATATTCAGCTCAGCTGGGACTCTTCTCAGATGTTAATTTTGGACACAGGTCTGTCTGGGTGGGAGCTAAAACAAGTCCTAGACAGGTTTACAGTTCATCACAAGACAAACTCACTGTGACAGATAAACTAACATTCATAATTTTGGCCAAATTTAGGTTTTCTGATCTACCTAGTATGCAAAATAAAGAAGATTCCTTCTTTATGCAGAAACAGAAAGAAGGAATACTATGCAGAAGCAGAAAGAACATACAAACAAGCCTAAAGCCATCTAGGAGGTGATAATAAAAGTAATTTGTAATGTCAGAAGTATTTTAAAGTAAATTCAAGAGGTATTAACCCAAAAATGGCAGAAGTGGTAAAGATTGCAATGCTTTATGATACATATAGTAGAAATGTATTATTTACAGTCTTTAGTTGATGCCTAATTAATTTTCCAACATATTTTTTCAGTATCGTTTTCAAGGTCTTAGCATCAGTTTTTTTTCTGTATAATACAGAAAAAGCCACAGATTCTGATCATTCCAGAAACACACATAACCCAAACACACATACATACATACAGGTGCTGGCCAGTAAATTAGAATATCATCAAAAGGTTGAAAATATTTCAGTAATTCCATTCAAAACGTGAAACTTGTACATTATATTCATGCAATGCACACAGACCAATGTATTTCCAATGTTCATTACATTTAAATTTGATATTCATAAGTGACAACTAATGAAAACTCCAAATTTGGTATCTCAAAAAATTAGAATATTCTGAAAAGGCTGAATATAGAAGACACCTGCTGCCACTCTAATCAGCTGATTTACTCAAAACACCTGCAAAGGCCTTTAAAAGGTCCCTCAGTCTTGTTTTGAAGGCACCACAATCATGGGGAAGACTTCTGACTTAACAGCTGTCCAAAAGACAATCATTGACACCTTGCACAAGGAGGGCAAGACACAAAAGGTGATTGCTAAAGAAGCTGGCTGTTCGCAGAGCTCTGTGTCCAAGCACATTAACAGACAGGCGAAGGGACGGAAAAAATGTGGTAGAAAAAAGTGTACAAGCTCTAGGGATAACCGCACCCTGCAGAGAATTGTGACGACAAACCCATTCAAAAATGTGGGGGAGATCCACAAAGAGTGGACTGCAGCTGGAGTCAGCGCTTCAAGAACCACCACGAGGAGACTCATGAAAGACATGGGATTCAGGTGTCGCATTCCGTGTGTCAAGCCACTCTTGAACAAGAAACAGCGCAAGAAGCGTCTCGCCTGGGCCAAGGACAAAAAGGACTGGACTGATGCTGAGTGGTCCAAAGTTATGTTTTCTGATGAAAGCAAGTTCTGCATTTCCTTTGGAAATCAAGGACCCAGAGTCTGGAGGAAGAGCGGAGAAGCACAGAATCCACGTTGCATGAGGTCCAGTGTAAAGTTTCCACCGTCAGTGATGGTGTGGGGTGCCATGTCATCTGCCGGTGTTGGCCCACTCTGTTTCCTGAGGTCCAGGGTCAATGCAGCCGTCTACCAGGAAGTTTTAGAGCACTTCATGCTTCCTGCTGCTGACCAACTTTATGGGGATGCAGACTTCACCTTTCAACAGGACTTGGCACCTGCACACAGTGCCAAAACCACCAGCACCTGGTTCAAGGACCATGGTATCCCTGTCCTTGATTGGCCAGCAAACTCGCCTGACCTTAACCCCATAGAAAATCTATGGGGTATTGTGAAGCGGAGGATGCAATACGCTAGACCCAACAATGCAGAGGAGCTGAAGACGACTATCAGAGCAACCTGGGCTCTCATAACACCTGAGCAGTGCCACAGACTGATCGAGTCCATGCCACGCCGCATTACTGCAGTTATTGAGGCAAAAGGAGCCCCGACTAAGTATTGAGTGCTATACATGCACATTCTTTTCATGTTCATTCTTTTCAGTTGGCCAACATTAGAGAAACAAACATTTTTTCATTGGCCTTTAGAATATTCTAATTTTCTGAGATACCAGATTTGATGTTTTCATTGGTTGTCACCTATAAATATCAAATTTAAATGTAATGAACATTGGAAATACATTGGTCTGTGTGCATTGCATGAATATAATGTACAAGTTTCACGTTTTGAATGGAATTACTGAAATATTTTCAACCTTTTGATGATATTCTAATTTACTGGCCAGCACCTGTACACGCATACGAATGTTAGACGGCTCTGCCAGCTGCGTTCACAGTCAACAGGTCCGTCACCTAAACATTTCCAAACAAGAACATAACTAGACTAAGTGAACATGTAACACAACTCCATTATTTTAATTTCCAAACTGATCATTCCATCTGTTACACTACCCTGGCTCTGGCTTCACTCCCTTTTTGGCTGCTCCAAGCCAAGAACGAGTAATTTGTGCACAGGGGGGTACATGCACAGACAGGGAAAGATGGTCATTGAAGCGGTTTGATGGATGGATCATGATCTAATCATAAAGAATGGGACCAGCACAATGATTGGATGAGATGTTCCAGGATTGTAAATTTTAGAAGTGATTAAAATTAATATTTTTTTGTCAAAACATCTAATTAATTGGTTTCCATTGGTATTTGAAGAGAATTTCAAATGATATGAATAAAATGCCACAGGAAAAACAGCTCCTACCTTATCTTTATTTGTTGGATTGTTTATTGACCATAAAAATAAATGATAAAACTATATTCTTGTTGCTTTGCAGCACTTTGAACGCTACAATAAAAAAGGATTGTTGAACCTGTACGATTAATAGACCATAAAAGTGGTTTCCATACGTTGAATTACTTCTCGACTTATAATGAAACAGGTTCGTTTTGATCCACCACAAAAGTAAACTGTATGCAGTCACCTTCATATAAAACACCCATGATTTCACCATTTCCAGACCTGTGAGACTGTAAACTCAGACAGTCGTAACTGAACCAGGGTCAGTGACAAGATCTCTCTGACATCAGTGTTTCCAGCCTGGAACTGAGCTATGGTCTACGAAGATCTCTATTGAAATAAATGTATATAATTGCACTTTCCATTCTGATGATGTGATAGGTTATGAAAAAACAGTAATAAAAAAAATTCCATTTAAATCCGAGACATTCCTGAAGGCCTTTGTGGCCGATTACTCGCTCGGTTTCCGGAAATTTCTACACACTCTGGAAAAGTGAAGTAACGCACAACTGCTGCCAAGGAAACCCTGCTCCAGTCTACTCCATGCTGGCTGGACACTCCTCCCTGGGCACTCATCCCGATGTCTGGAAAACTGGGAATTCCAGCTCACAGTTTTGCCATGGGAGCTTAACTCTCCACTTGCACACAGAAAATCCATAGTGCCTGGGGAGGACTACATCAGTCTGTGTCATGCTCCGGAATGATCCTATAGCATTCCTTTTCACTACAAGATGAGGAAAAACTTTAAACCGCTAGCAGGAAAAGTTTTATCATCAAAACGATGTCCACTTTAATGAAGGTTTAAAATTGAGTTCTTATGAGCTATTTTGAGTCGATTTATGACAGCAAGGCCCAAAGAGAACCATACGAAAATAAAAACTTTAAAAATAAAAGTAAGTAAAATATGGCAACAAAATTGTTCGTGTTATTCAAAAAATGAAGAAAAGACAACATCTTTCAAGAAATAGAGACAAGGGGATCCCCAAAGGGTGGCCTTGGCCACGCTTAGAAAATTGCAGGCCACCCTACAGTCCCCACTCAGGGAAGACCACTGTTCTTTAATAAGTCATAGTAATGCTTTTTTAATCAAAATGAATAAATGTATTGCATCACTACAGGCTACATTTTCCCAGGGCCACAAGGATTAATTTGGTGCGCCACCCCAAAATTTTCTCTGGCCCCTTGGCCACCCCATGAAACATTTCTGGGGGTGCCACTGAATAGAGGTGGTTGACTTTATTTTACAGTTTCCATCTTGTCCCTGCAGCTCTTTTTGTTTATAAAGTCAATTTTAAATTGAATCAATTCAAATTTCGATCAAGGTTTTATGTTAAATTTATGTCTTACTCATGGGACGAATAATCCACATCCCATAAAATCCCCATATCAAGAAGAAAAACAATAAAAACAGCTATTTGTCTATTTCTTCTGTAAAAACCAGACACATGCAATCATGTTTTTATGTTTAGGCTCTACAAAGATTTACAAACCTACTTGAATCAAAAAAGTCTATTAACTTTGTTCCTGTCATGATTGAACCCTGCCAAAAGACAGCTGGGATTGTATCCATAACCCTGTGACCCTAAACCGGACAAAAACAGCTACAACAAAAAATTATGTCTGGTTCACTTTTGTCACACATTCTGGAACATGTGGGTCAGAACGCTGCTTCAACAGTGCAATACCCTCACCAGGGACGAGCAAAATAACAAAACTGATTGATGTTTGTGTGACGGCTCGATTGCTGTTCAGCACCTGTTCGTGAGGTGTTTACTTTCTGATAGACATGAATGCTTAAGACACATCCAGAGTTATCCCAAGATATCATTGTTCTGTCAGAAAGAAGATTTAAAAATCTGCCGGCACCTAGCAGTCGGAGTTTGAATTGCACCACAAAAAAGAAATGATGCGTTGCTATTATCGATTCAGCATCATAACACAAAATATTGCAAAATTGCTTTATATTGAGATTTTCCATCATTCCTAACACACACACACACACACACACACACACACACACACACACACACACACACACACACACACACACACACACACACACACACACACACACACACACACACACACACACACACACACACACACACACACAGCTGACAGCATCAAAAATACTTCCCAAATACAAAAGGAAAATATTTCTTGCTGTTTAGCTGCTGTATTGTGGTAAGCAGGGAAGTCTAAAATACAAATCAGGAAACGGAGAAGGCCTGCTGTCTTCAATTAGCTCCTTTCGTAAGGAAAGTTGGGGATTGGCTACTCAGTCTGTCAGATGGAGTCCCATCCGGTCGGGTCTCCATGCTCCACATTCCATCCAGAGCTGAATTGTGTTGTGTTCTGCCCCATTTCAGACGTAAAACGGCGGTTTGGTGCTCCATATTGGAAACATGTGAGTAGGGTGTCATTGAAAGAGCGCCGTGTCACGGCAGCTGGGGTCCTCTTGAGTTCAACCCTGCGTTTACCTCTGCTTTAACTCTTCTAATGAAATTAATTTCTGCATGCTTATTCTTCTCGTTTTCTTTTTTTTTTTTTGCAGCCATTAAACCAACACAAGCTGCCACAGATACTCTGCCAGGGTGAGCATTTGTTTTGTAAAAACACCTTACTTGTGGGCCTTAAATGCTCTGGTGGGCTGTTTCAACATCTGGTCCAACACTAATCCACTCATCAGTTAAATTAAAGCTCACTGATGACAACTATGGCAGCCTTTTTCCTCCTCTAAAATACTTGGAACTAAGTTTTTGTTACAGTTCCAAGGCTGGATCTTTAAAAGTCTGCAACAGGCTCATATGTCTAGGTAATTTTTTTCTAAAGTCCACTAAATCAATTTTCTCAGACTTTGGATAACTTTTTGCATGGTTTTGTGGATTATACCCAACTAGTTCTCAAAGTATGTGTATTACTGATCCTTAAAAGTAAAGATTTTAAGTTAGTATTTTAAAAAGCATCACATTGGTTTAGTGGGAAATGTTTCTCAAAAGAAATCTTTCATACTTTAATAAATCGGTGACAAAACACCAGCAAAGATGGTGGATTAATTCATTTTAGTAATGAAATTAAAGACAATTAATCAGTAAATACATTTTGAAGAGTTTTGATTTATATGTAACTTAAAAATTAATTAGTTCAGACATAATTAACACGACAAGGACTATAATTTTCATGTCCTGTCTAAAAATACTTGTTGGGCGTGGAACGTGTGTGTGTGTGTGTGTGTGTGTGTGTGTGTGTGTGTGTGTGTGTGTGTGTGTGTGTGTGTGTGTGTGTGTGTGAGAGAGAGAGATGGAGAGAGAAAATAAAAAGTGTAACATGGCCATCTAGTGGTAAAGTCAATTAAAACATAGTGTATCTGCAGTGATGGAGTCCTGCAAGAAAAAAAAAGGGGAAGAGCAACAGAGATGCAGTAAATCGCTTCCTCCACAGAAACCTGCAGATTTGAAAAATGCACCTATTCATCAAATTCACAAAACAAACAAACAAAAAAAAAATACCTTCCAGATATTTTTGTGGTGTTTCATTAGGCTGACCTTTAATTCCAGGCAGAAACAAACGAAGGACGAGTGAAATAAACCAGTGAAAGCCTATAAAACCTAACTGTCAGCTCGTAATAATACTATCTAAACCTGCTGTGCTCCAAGAAATATACCTCAGCTCTCTGGGCTAACAATGGAATAAATTTGAACTGAAACAGTCAACTTTGAGTTAGGAGGAAGTGAAACGTCGCTAAATTCTGCAGCATTTCAGACGGTAACCCTCATGAGGGCAGAGGGCTAACACTGAATAACACAACAACGTCCTCTTTAATTATTTACGCAACATGACATATTTAAATGTAAAAAACAACGTATAAGTATTCAGGCTGCACACAATGCAGTGTGCAGTCAGCTTTCTAACCCCTGTGATAAACCAGCATCAGATCAGAGACACAAACTCACATATGGATGCTCTGCTCTGCGCCGATGGCCCAGCCCACAGCACGGCATGAAGGGGACCAGAGGCGGGGGGAGTGGCCGGCCGTCTCACAGACTCCCTGTCAGGCAGCGACATTGACAAATTCAACCCTGTTCCATATCTGCAGACTGGGTCCACAGAGTTGCGGACCACCGAAAATGCGCAGACAAGACAAGGACAGAGGAAAAAGGATGCAGGAGTGAAGAAAACAAATCGTCCAATTCAGTCACCCTCCTACTCCTGAGGATTCAGAAAGTCAGATTCTGCCTCTCCCCTGTCCAGCCCATCCTCAGACAGTGGCAGCAGAGGTGAACGTATAAACTGTTTACCCCTCTACGAAATCTGTACATGCTCCAGCACATCCTCTGATGCTGCCAATTCCTCTGCGGTGCTGCTGGGCTGTAGCAGAGACACACACTCTCAGGCCGGCACACCGGTTCAGCTGCAAGTAGATTTAGACACACTCATCAGCACACGCAAGTTCCTTCTCAGGATGGGGAGGAAGTGGAGTTTGAAGTGCTCTTTGCTGACTGCTCTCTAATAAAGAGAAGCGCGCTTATACAGGCTGCTGCTTTATTCATTTGCTTTAAAAGCTTGGAAGACACTGAGTTTGTCCCTTTTTCCTCTTTTCTTTTTCACCGTACCGTTTTTTTCTCCGTCTGTGTCGTCACTTAGCACCGCTGGAGTAGTAAGGACTGATCTTAAACAGAAAAAAATACATTTTCCATTTAGCTTCAACATTATCAGGTTGCTAAAGACAAGGATCTTCATCAAACTCATTAGACTAAGTTTAATGAGTTTTTTTTTCCGTTTTGTTTTATAGATTTAGGTTCTTTGATGTCACTCCTTGTTCGTTCATGTCTATCATCTATTATTTCACTTTCAGCAGGATTGATTGTTTTTTCAAGTATTTATGTTAATTGAGAACATTTTTGTGGTAATTAGTGTATTTTCAAAATGCTGCCCTGTGTCACATTCACTTGGCCTTCACCTTTAATCATACCATTAGTATGATCGTTCCTAGTTTAAAGAGCAAGTTCACTGATATGATTGGTTACTCTACTTCTATTTCCTTAGCTGCTGTTACACAATGAACACGGAAGTGCTTGTATTAGAAATTCCAGCGACATTAGTACATCATAATGTTAAATTAACATTAATGGATTCATCCATCTTTTCTTGCGAAGAGAAAGGCTGTTGGTGGTTTAGCATCCAGGAGAGAGAAAAGCATGTGTTGGTAAGTCGAAGCTAACTTTTAGCGTTAAGCTGGGGCCCACCGGAGACAGACGCGCCGTGGTTTCGAGAAGTCAAGTGGTCACGCAAGACGCGGCGCTGAGCACTTCTTCGAAAGTCGCGCAATAGTCACAACTTCACGTGGGAATTGAGAACAGGAAGCGGAAAGTGACTCGTTTGTTTTGACGTGATCAGACCTGCCATTGTGTTTTGAGAGAATCTAATCCTTTAAAAATGGGTAAGTACACTATTCATTAGAATGTTTTAAGATCAGTAGTACTTTAAAGTTATCAAATCTGCGGCTGGGTTTGTGCAGTAATGCCGTTCCTCGTCGGAATGTCTGTCGTAAAGTACTCCACAATGTTGTAAACAGCCGCAGCACTTGAAATAGAACTGGCGCCTATCTTCAGGGCCTCGGCGCGGCGCTTCTGGGTCGCGGCGCAGCGCTCCCTGTGTGGCCACTCTCATTAACTAACGTACTGAGGAGCCTAGCATAAGGTATCAAAGATGATTTACGCAAAAAATACTTTTGATAGATCACAACTATTGTTGCTTTAAGGGTCCAGGCCTGTGTTCTCTGAACTATTTCTCTGTTTTCTCCTATATAAATTAGGTTAACTGAAGCTAGTGAATCGTAATCATTTTTTAACTTTATCTGTGACCATGTGTACTCCCCTGGGAGTAAAAGAACTAGGGACCCCACTGTTGTCCCCAGGGAAGACCACCCCCGATCCCCCTTAATAAATCACATTCACGTTCACACAAATCATACATTCATCTTGTTTAACGAAGATGTAAATATTGAAGCCATAAAATTAAATGTTTGTGTTTCAATTCGGTGTGCCCCCCAAAACTTACACTGCCCCCCTCGTAAACATTTTCTGGGCACACCACTGCTGAAATATGGTAAGGATGTGCAAATAAAGTTTTACATCTCTTAAATAACAAAAATAAATAAATAAATAAATAAATAAATACATTAATACAGAAACAAATTTTCTAATTTAAACCAACAAAGTAATTTTAAGAAAATGACCAACATTATGTAATGTGCAATAATTTGGCTACTTATTAAGTTAAGGAGTTCATAAAATGATCAAAATTCATTTTACTTAACTTTAAGGCTTTATTATGCAATGCTAAATGATTTGCACGACATTACTATTTTAGCATATTTTATTTTATTCAGCTTTTAAAATTAAACGTACATTAATAATTCGATAAGAGTTCCTTTTTGGGACACAGTTTGCGACAAAAGCCACGTTTCTGAGGCAGGATAAATGATAAATAAATGATAAATGACCCGCACTTGTATAGCGCCTCTCAGAGTAAGGACTCCAAAGCGCTTTACACTACAGTGCATCATTCATCCATTCACACACACATTCACACACTAATGGTGATGAGCTACGATGTAGCCACAGCTGCCCTGGGGCGCACTGACAGAGGCGAAGCTGCCGAGCACAGGTGCCACCGGTCCCTCTGACCACCACCAGCAAGCAAGGTGGGTAAAGTGTCTTGCCCAAGGACACAACAGCAGCATTCTCTGTCCGGGAGCCGGGATCGAACCTGCAACCTTCCGATTACTGGACAACCCGCTAAACCTGTTGAGCTACTGCTGCCCCAAGAAAACTGCTAAATTTTTTTATGAACATTGAGTGAAAATAAATACAAACTGAGTTTAATATAAGTATAGCTTTCAGCAAATGTCTGGATATCATCATAAAATATTTAGTGCTAAAATACTATTTGAGTAGAGATGCTATTTTAGGAACTGTTTCTGTGCTAATTGATTCCTTCACCCAAGGGTTAGTGTTTTGTCTTGCGTCTAAATCTGTCACCGGCAGCCCTGTAATATATGAATTCTGGGTAATTTGACATAAAATGCCATATAAATGATTATATATATATTTGTTTCATTCTGGTCAATTTAAAGCTGACAACAGAAGATGTGCAAAGTGTGTTTGTTCGGTTAAAACACACAGAAAGTCCAGTTTTTAGACTGTTTAATCCGGTTTTATTCCGACTGATGTACATAAAACACACTGAACATTTAATATGAGCTGCAACAAAATGTGAGCAGTCTCCTGTGAAGCTGAGTGTCAATATATCACCTCATGCCAGACAAACACGAACATAAACATGGCATCATTTTCCACCAGCACCGAGACTTTTGTTGCAGCCAGTTTTTCACATTTACTCTTGTCATTACTAACACCTGACAGTGAAAGGTGAGATGTATGTCAGTTAACTTGTCAAAGGCTTTGAGAAATAATCATCAGTCTCCTACTGGAATCATGAGAGATAAAATACCAGACGATGGTTTTATCAAGGCTCAGAACGCGCTGCTCAGACACACTTTGAGGAAAAACCCTAGTGGTGATTTTCCCAGAAATAAATTGATTTTTTTAAATCTCCCTTTTGCATATAACAGTCTCGATTAATATCAGATCCACCAGAGTGAGCTTTTGTTGCAGAAAAACCTAATAAATTTTATCCGTTCGCTAATTAAACAACTCCAAAAAGAAACAGGCCACGGCGTTCGGGAAGAAAAAACAATCACTTTAATAATCACTAAAGACTTTAATGACTAATAAAAAAAAAATCACTGATGTTGAAATGCAGCGATGATGCATAAAGAACACAAATTTATCAGATTAAAACAAGTGAAGATGGATAGCAACCAGGGTATGAATTACACAGAAGGTTTCGAGGGAGCCCAGTGAGATGGGGGGTGGAAAGGGGGTGTCTATTTAGCCTTGGCCCCCAAAATGCCTTCAAACGGCCCTGGGGTGTGGGTCTGAGTTTTGCACATGAGGCACAAATAAAAGACAGAAAGGACCAGAGAATATGAGCAGACATTAACTATCGAGTGTTAATTATATATTTTTTTGGTGGCGCCACTTTGAGAATGTTACTGTGGTCCTGAGCAGGGCCCAGCCGCCTGGAGCGCATCAACAATCGGCACTCTGCATCATCTCTGCTCAAGAGTCCCCGGTACACTGAGAATTTATATAAATAATGTAATGCAGGAGGTTTTTTTTCAACCCCACCCCCCGCTGTGTAAATAGACGACTTCTAGGGGAGCTCATCACCCTTTCATGGGGAGCCGAGTCCCCTTGAGCTCCCCCATGATTCGAACCCTGATGGAAACTATAGCTTAAAAGACCATTTATTTGATTAAAATATGTCACTTTTATTTCTGAGGTCGAAGGTACCGAGTCAGAGCTCATGTTGGCCTATGAGGACACAGGTTTCCCGCACTAGAATATTCTGTTCCTTATTTTTCCTCATCCCTTTAATTTTTTTCTTTTGTTTTTAATTTTTATTTATTTCATTTAAAACATTTTAAAATATTTTTTTCTATTTTAAAAAATATATATATATTTTGCTAATTATCCCAAATAGGACAAATAAAACAGCCTTAACAAAACAAAATACAGTGAATTCATAATAAAATATTATTTTTTTACACAATCTTTTCATTCTTTTTACAAAAAGATCCAACTTTCTTTTACACGTTATGCTAGAGTATCATGCCAGCTGTTTAAAGAAGGAATGTGACCGAGTTTGAATGTGGTGGCAACTGTAACTTTACAACAGATTTTTACAAAAGTATTACTTCTCTCCAAGTTCCATATTTGGAATCTATTCAGTTCTTTGTTCCTGCATTCTAAATGAGGTGTGTTTAGATCAAACATTTCGAATAACACACTCTCAAGGGATTTCAGGAACTCAGAAATTTGCTCGTAATAAAGATATTCGCCACAAGAGGGCAGTATAATGCCATTGTTACAGCAAACCAAACCATACTTTTCTGCAGGTACCTTGCTGGACTTCAGAAAAAAACTGTATTTTACTCAAGGAATAAAGAACAACATTTACTATTTTCTCTTTTCCCTTCTTTATTCTTTTAAAACTACCGCTGGCTGTCACTCAGTAATATTTATCACATAAACAGCAACGAGGCTTTTAAATGTGAAAATAATCAAATGTGTAACTAAATATGACCTAGAAAAAACTAAAAGAAAGATTTAAAAAAATGCTGTTTTTTTCTCTTTTTGCATGGCTTTCAACACAAAAACACACACACACACACACACACACACATTTACAGCCTGAAAGTAAAGGCAAACACATAAAAACTAATAGATTACATAGAGGCATCATTAGTTGCTAGTAGACAGGAGGAAAATAACAGGAGGCTGGTAGTATCAAAGGGAAGTAGGAGTGTTGGTGCAGTCATTTACATCCACATAACGAGTGTGGGAAGCAGCTGGAAGTTAATTGTGAGACACTGCTGCTCTGTTAGTTACATAAATCCCATCGCCTTGAAACTGTCCCGCGATTTTTTTGTCTCTCAACTTTGACCATTAGTTGTGCGGTTTGTGTATTCTTTTTTGGATATTATTTGTGCAATTGTTGGACAAAATTACTTGCTGTGGTATTAATTGCACTAATAGAGCGTCCAAGAAGTCTCCACTTCATTTTTTTCGGTAAATAAAATTATATTTATGTTGATGATCTTATGGCTTTTAAATGGGTTTTAGTTTACATATATATATATATATATATATATATATATATATATATATATATATATATACATACATACTTTGTTTTGTGAATGTTTGGGAGCGTTCGGATCTCCGTTTTAAACATAAAGCCATGGCCATTTTAACACTGTTTTTTTTAAGTACTTTTAGATTTGGAGCTTTTTGTCATTATAAATCCTTTAATAAAAATCATTGTTTACCATTTTAACACCTGAAACACACCTGAAATACTCCCTGTCCTTCTCATTTTCCACCAATAGAGGACGTAACAATACCGATAATGGTATTTATATTGTTATCAGCGCATCCCTATTTTTAACCCTTTAGAACAGGGATTCCCAAAGTGTGGTGCGCGCACCCCCAGGGGTGCGCGAGCTGCCGCTAGGGGGTGCGCGAGGTGAAAAGTGTAATGGCTGCGGAGCTCAGAGAAGTCTGTCATATGTCTCCATTAGCGTAGAAACTCATTTGTGGGTGGGCCAAAGAAAAAGTAAGTGGGCACAATAAATGTAATTGAAAACAAGTTTATTTTTGCGCGCGCGCGCGTGTCCTCCACCTGTGCCCTAACTTCATAATAACAATGCGCCGAGCTTCAGCACTCTGGCCTGCGCACGCTGATATGTTCCGTATTTGATCATTTTTAACGGTGTTGGAGGAATCTGAAGGTGGTGAGTCATTCTGGCAGATTGTAATTAACACCCTGTCTCATGCAGGTGTTCTGACATTGTAAACCTCACACACAGAACATTGTGGATGTAACAAAATAACAAGAAATGATTCCCATTCAGGCTATTGACAGCGCGCTGAAGATCTGAAGTTCAGAGTGCTTCTGTCAGAGGTCAGACGCGTTCCAGCTGAACCACGGCTCACGGGTGCACAAGTGAGCACATCTGGGCTGGGCAGAAGTAATTTTACAACATTGGTTTAAATAGCGCGAGACGCGGTGACTTGAGCGGCTGTGCCGCGCGCGCGTGCGCGCGCACACACACACACACGCACACAGATTCAATAAGCGCACGCGCTGCTTTAACTCCGGCGCGCCGTCAGACTGAAGGCAGAAATGAACGCTGCCTCCACCGTGATAAAAACTTTTAAGAGGTTATTTTTCCATTCAAGGTCAAATTAAGATATTAGCTTCTGGGATGAGTCGGGTCCGCTCCAGCCAGTGACTCCTCATGAACCTGACCACATCTCATGTTACTGCAGCATTTGTTATTCCAGTCCGCGTGGCAGCGGATCGCAGATTCAGCCACACCATAAAACAGCAATAAGTCGGTCTGAGGTAAAAGTGAACATCATGGCTATATCTTGTACCCTATTGACATTTGATTACGCACAAGTAGGTGATCAGCTCAGGTTTATGCAGACCAGAAGGAAGGAGCGCGCTCTGGCCGCACAGGTTAAACGTTCCTACTTTAAGAAAACCATTAAATTGCATTGTTTATGTGCTACCTGGGCACTCTAAATATTTATTTAAAATGAAATCAAAGGAAATTGTAATGGTATCGAATGTTTATTAATTACTATTTAAAAAACGAAAGTGATGGGGAATTTTTTTAACCCTGTCTGCTTAGCTTGACATCTGATATACATACATATATATATATATATATATATATATATATATATATATATATATATATATATATATATATAGAGAGAGAGAGAGAGAGAGAGAGAGAGAGAGAGAGAGCCATGCCCCGATGTGGGGGCTGGGGGGGGGGGGGGGGGTGTGCGTCGACATGGTCGGACATAGAAGGGGGTGCGCGGCTAAATAAGTTTGGGAACCACTGCTTTAGAAGATACTCATGAAGCAAATCTGCAAACAAGCTAGGTTTAGAAGAAAAAAAACAGTCACGGAACACTCACTCCTGTTCTGGTAGATCTTCACTGGCTTCCCGTAAAGTTCAGGATTGAATTTAACGTAATAATGCTGGTTTTTAAATGTTTGCATGGGTTGGCTCCCCCATATGTGTGTGACTTTATTCAGCATGTCTAGGAGGTTGAGATCAGCTGACCTTCATCTGCTAGCAACACGCAGGTCAAGGTCAAAACTAACCCCGGTTTCACACTGGAAGCATCAGCAGCGTGCAGATCGGTTTACTTGCGAACTGAAAAGCGTCCCTTTTCACAACGGTAGATTCTTGGCAGTGGCACGGCTTACTCGCTGTGCCGCGGTTTGTTTGTGACATCCGCCATTAAACCAAAAAGAAGGAAATCATGTTGTTATTGCTGTTTGATGTCATATATGATGATGTTCCTCTCCACTGCCAGGAATAAAGCCATTAAAAAACATATTGCTGCACTTCTGGAACGATGCTGTGAGTAAATAAGCTTCATATATATTAAATTGCGTCACTGCAGTACTTTTATTTTGAAAATGACTGGGGATTTTACACTGAAACTGTGTGATTTCCCGTCTAGTCCTATGTTAACTGCGGAAATTGACATGTCCCAGAAGCGGCTCGCGGCAAAAACAGAACCCGATCCTGTCTTCAGTGGCGTGGAGCAGCGTGCCGCTTTTGGGAGGCACTTGGAAATTGCTGCATTGCTGCTGGTTTGAAGCAGTCCTATAATGGATTCTATTTGAAGCAGTGCCGCTGATGCTTTCAGTGTGAAACCGGGGTGAGGGTGCTAGGGCCTTCTCCATGACGGCTCCTGTCCTGTGGAACAGCTTTCCCCCTGAGGTTAAGATAACTGATTCTATGGCCTCTTTAAATTACGGCTGAGAACGCATTTGTGTGTCATGGTGTTTCATTGATAATCAACAGGCTGCAGGTTTTTCTTCCTCTTTTTATCGTTTCATATGTGACCTTTTATTGCAGTTTTATTCTTTTTTTGTTTTTATGTACAGTATTATGTCTCATCTGCCTGTGACTATTCTCTTGTAATGCTTTTGTCGGCCCCTTCATTGTTTTTACTGTTACTGCCTATGTGCAGCACTTTGGGGCGATGGATCTTGCCATTTAAACGTGCTTCCAAATAAATGCTGACTTGACACCCCACCCATCAGGTATCGTCTCTGAGACGCTCCTGCTGGGACCTGCGATGCTGGATGAAACAAGATGGTGCAAAACACCAGTCGCCGTTTTCTACATTTAAACAAATGTAGTTGTCCGTGACTTCAAATGGTGGTTGTTGTTTTTTTTTTTGTAGTTTGCCCTAAGGTTGAAGTGGTAGCAGCCGGCTGTTCCTCCTTCTCTGGTATTATTAAGTGGAGAGCCTCTCACACCTGTGGTGCTAAATATGCAAGTGCGTACTGAATGGAGGACTCAAAGAACTGCTGCCTTTTCTGATAATCAGTTGTCAAATATTCGTCATACAATATTCCTTGAAAGTAGAATTCCTTTGAGCCACACCCTTATATATAAAAACCACCAGTCCAGGTTTTAGATTTAGCTCATAACTGTAAAAAATCCCACAAATGTGTGATTTATAATGCAGGAAATTCCAGTGCAAATGCTCAGGGATGTCATTCAAAATACAAAAACCCTTCAAAAAAGTACTTTTGCAGACTTTCCCAGTGTTATCTACAGAGACGTTTGACTTAACTGATCAGACCATGCTACAGTCCTTGTTTTAGTTTCAGACAAGCGGCGCATCACTCACACGTCGACTGCCAACGCCTGAACTAAACCCTGGAGCGAAACCACCTCTGTGTACACAAGTATTAAACCGTTCACCTGACAATGTTTAAGTCTGCTGCCAAGTCTGACAGCTCTGCCCTTCTGACTTCTCAACAGAG